ACACAGATTCCCCTTCTTTTCACATCTGAGTAATTCTTTTGTTTGTCCACTCTGGGAACAGAGGAGTTTTTAATAAAGCTGACTGTTGTTTAAAGCCACTGAGTTCTGGTGGTGCACACAGCATGGAGTAGTTTGCTTTGTGGCTACCTTTGGAGCATATCAGGATGAAAGTGTTATGTCCCCAAGCTGTAATTATGCGACTACTTTCTAGTGTTTCAAAAGGAGGGAGGGAGAAGGGGAAAAAAAAAAAACCCTAGCTGTGGTTCAATGTGTCATAAAAAGGAAACGAATGAGCAGTAATAAGACTTCAGCTAAAGTGTTAGACTTCTTAGCTGTCATGTTAACAAGGTCCTTTAAATCTTACAATAAAGTTTAAAGCTTGATTTATTCTAATATACTGAAATTGTTTAAAAAATAATTTGCATTATGACAAGGAAATCTGTTCTGAGAAAAAAACCGAAAATGTCATTAACAAAGCAGGCTTATGGAAAATAAGAGGTTGCACAGCATCTGGAAATCTGCTGTTGACTCATGATTTTCTTTAGTAAACAGGGTAAACCCCACAACGTGTGAATGGTGTTCTGGCTTTAGATCCCTTCAGACTACTTAGAAACATCATTTTAATGGTGAAGCTCAGAGGCTGGCATTGGAACATCACCCAGCCACATTTTACTTAAGCAAAAAGAAATGTTCGGCAGAGAACACATATATTATCAATTCTGAGAAAATGAAAACACTCAGGAAACAATCATTTCCATATTACAACAGAAAATTGGATTTTCTGGTGAATAATGAAAATGAGGCATCCCTCCCCCCATCCTCCTCTCTCTCCAGTATTTGTTCTGTGCCCCTCACCTTGGTATCAACGTGCTAAGAGATGATTATTAAGTGCAACAAAGACCACAGCTATGCACAGTTCTGGAAGATGTTCTAGCCTGTTTGAACTCGGTTATTTTTCCCTCCTCACAGTCTCTTCAAAGACAACGAAACCTTAGGTGAAATGAGAAGTGCATGAACTACACTAGCCTTGAACTGGCAAAAAAATAATTACTGGGATTAACGCAACATCATAAAGTTCATCCTTGTTAGGCCAGGAGAAACCCTTGGGAGAAGTCTTGTTTCTGGAGAAAAGCCACGTCCCTCCACTCCTCCTTCACACTGGCCCGACATGGTCACGGGCAGAGGATAACAGATTGTGACTCAAACTGCCTCAAGATGAATCCGTTTGTGAGAGACGGAAAGTGTGTCATGCAACGCTACTTTGGGAGAGATAATTAATACTGCACAAACAATCACGGGAAAAGCTAAACACATTATTTGAATGTTTTGAAGTAAATGGTAAAAGACAATGTTTAAATTAATTATTAATTAAAAATGAATGTTGCCATCTTTAAAGATTTTTTTTTCAAAGCACTCTGTGCACTGATTTAAAATGCTGCAATATCAAAGTACGCAGAGCCTCAGATTCCTTCGTGCCCCCTCCCCTCTGACAACACATTATGCAGGTGGGAAACTTTTTTGCCATTAAATGCTAATTAGTTTCACAACTAATTACTATTGTGGTATTAGGTTAATGTTTTTCTACTTTTTGATTTAGACTTACTTTTGTAAATCCCTTATTCAAATGACTTTGAAGTAAAAGACTATAAATTAGTTCCCTTTCTAATGCGTAATGTGAGCCGTGGCAAGTCAGCCGGTAATTTCACAGCCCTTTCGAGGAACAGAGAAAGGCAGCGTGGCTCTCGTGTGCAATCACTCACACAGGTAGCCAACCGCTCCACAGAGTTTTTAGAGACCTACAAGACTTATAAACTCTGGCTTCCTCACCAGCCGCCAATTACTTAGTATGTAATTTGAGGGGAGGGGGGAATTTACAGCTTTGCAGACTCACTCCATCACCCTGTAAATATCGAACACACCCATCGGGGCATCACACCCTTCCTGCCTTACCCTTTCCTGCGCTAGCTCGCTGCCCAGGTACCGTTCACGTTGAGCAGGGACAGTGATACCCCATTACTTCATGTGGTTATATATGCATTCATTATACTGCCGTCTGTTGCTATAACGCTCCTATTAATTTTCCTTTTGATATTTTAAGAGCAATCTATAAATCACACAGACCTTCACGTGTGCCATCGCTAATGCTTAGCCAAGACCGTTGTGTGTCGAGTGGGTTTTTTTAGACCTGCCAAACAAGCCCATTTCCCAGTTCTGCCCCACCGGCCATGCTTGTCGTGTGGACCGAAGGGGAGAAAAATCTCATTTTTTTTCCTCCAAGAAATGCAGCTGCCTATGAGATTTTGTAAGGTTTAAAGAAGAGAATTGCAAATGAGTTAACAACTTAATAGCTCTGTGTGCTTGTCGGACTGGATTGAGCTGATCGGTTTTATGTGGGAATTGGTAAACGGCCCTTTTATGTTCTAATCAACCTAAGCACGTCCCCAGATGGAGATGTCTACTCCTCCTGCTCCACCCATGAACCTCAGGAACCAACCGCAAAGGCCTCCAGAGCCACACTGCAGCAGACGGTAAGACCATGCCTAGAGCCACGCACGCGCCTCTGCCGTACTTACATTGCTTGCATAGGGGAACGTCCTGGACTACTGTCACTCCCGTTACTGTTCGTATGCTCCATTGCACCGTTAAGCTCTTCCCTCATCGCGTTGGCTAGATTGCCCAGAGTGGGATTTCCCATGGAAGCAGTAGTGTATAGAGGTATACTGTTCTCAGCCATTGAAGCCTGCCAGGGACACAAACAAATATATGAAGTGCCATGACTAACGTTTTTATACATTGCACAACATGCTCACTTATTCCAAAGCATTCTCCACATTCACATTATTTGCAATTACCTGTTTTTTAAATATTGTGCTTTCTGATAGGTATTACCCTGATTCCACCAAGGGAAATTTAACATCACTTACACCTGGGTTTAAGCATTCATAGCTGTACTGGCTTGTGAGAGGACAGAGCTTTCCATTCCCTACTTGGAATTACACCCCCTGGAAAAAATAATGTCGTTTTCCTATTTTCATTTTGCAAAATTATATTTGGGGCTTTGGGGTTTTTTGTGGCTTAGGACTGGGCTTGTGTTTTGTTTTTAATGAAATGGGGTAAAAAAATCAGAACTGGCTCAGCTGGTACCTCCTTCCTACAGAGCAAACAGGCACCAAGCAGGAGGGCAGCATTACTGAGTTTGGTTTTTCTTGTGACACAAGTGCAAAGCTGCAGTTAGCACTAACTGGATAAGTCTGAGTTGCAGTGATCTACCCAAGTCTATGTGAAATTTTTTAAGCCTCAGCAACTCTACTCTCACCTTAGCTATTACAGACCTGACCATTTTATTTTGATAATGGAGTTAACTTTCTAAATGGAAATCTTTGTAGGAAGAGAATGAACTGTTAAATATTCTCCTTCTGATTCCCACCGTTCTGCCTGCTAATATTTACTGTGTGTCAGCATTAGCTCATGTTGACGGCACAGTCCTGTGCCGGGTGCAGCAGCGGTGGGAGCGCAGAAGTCCCGAGCCCCAGAGGAGCCCCGTGTTCGGTGGGGACAGGATGCACGGCTTTCCAAATCCGTACCGCCCAGGTACTCGAAGGTCATTTAACCATTTCATCCATCCCATCGGATCCGTCTGACATCACCCGCAGCTCTCTGAGCCGTGTCAGTGCCGGGCAGCCACAGACACTGGCTCGGTACTGCTCGACCTGCGCCGGGGGGAGGTCAGCTGGCGGCGGAGCCAAAAAAATCCATCAGGCTCCAGGTCTGCATGATGCAAACCCTGCCCATGGGAGGGGAATTCACGAAAACCCACTCCCTACCGAATGCTCTAGCCTGCTCCTAATTCATGGGACAAAACTCCTTGTTTGCTGCCAGCCGAGCTGGCAGAGTTGTTCCCAGGCACAGCTGGAGACTGGGCAGGGGGGAGACGGGATGGGAAGGGGGGGCAGGACCAGCCCTGACTGCAGCATCTTCAGGAGCATGGCCCCTTTTATTCTTCCTCACGTTGACCTCTCCATGTGCAGCTCTATGTGTCACACGTGATTACAAAACCTATTCTAATGGGGAGGATTATTTTTATCTTCTTGATTCAACAACCGGCAAACTCATTGTGATGAGGGGATGCAAAGAATGGGTCACATTTCCTGCACTTGGCAAAATAATGACTCAAGTTCTTCACCCATAGTGATAACTTGTAATCGCACTAAAGCAATTTACTGGGGGAGAGGTGGGACATGAGGAATATGTTACAAAGATGAGAAAAGGTGGGGGGGGGGATGGTTTTTTTAGGAGCCGCTGCTGACCCACTGGGAGAAGAGAGTTGAGGGCTGGAGCCCCCAGACCTTCTGCACACGGAGTGGGGAGAGAGCTGTTTCTTCTGCACTCACAGGGATGCACAGAGAGCCAGTCTTTGCAGGCACCCGCAAAAGCCAGGGGAACATTGCTCGTTAATTATTAATCAGACTTAACATAGGCACTGGCAGGTAGAACAGCCTAGGAGGAAGGTTCACCAAACCCCTGTGTGGCACCGAGCATCCGCCAGGATTCTGCCTCCAAAATCCAGTGGAGGGGAGAGGAGCAAGGAAGCTGCTGGTGTATTTTCAAATTTTCAACCTAAACGAGAACCTGTTTCAGTGTCATGAATATTGCTCACCCCCATTTATTACAGGGGCCACATGAGTGGTACCGTATCTGGCCCAGGCTCTTCTCTCCATCAGCTCTGTTCGCACGATGCTAAGGGGGGGCACAAGAACATGCCACTGCCAGGGAAGTGGGAAATGGAAACAGTTTGGAGGTTATCACAAAAGACAAGAATGGATGGAGATGACGACAATGACACGTGTTTCAGAAATAAAACATGAACAGTTCCGTATAATAAGCATATTAATTGAAATTAGTCACATAGTTAACAATGTGAAGAAATGGAGGATCATTTCGTTTTTGCCTTTCAGCCTCATGAATGCAAAATGTGCTTGTAATCTTAATACTATCCAAGAGACAAAGCAGTCTTTAAAAATCACACTTCACAAGACTCAAGGGAAAATAAGTTACTAATGAATGGTATTTACAGTTGCTTCATTTAAACATGCTTTCATTTGCTTTTCAGAAGTTACTGCATTAACTCAAATAATTAGAAGAAATGCAGAATATCACTTTTCTCCTAATAATCTGTTTCTTGGTTCTGAAAAGAGAAGCCTGCTAAACCTTCCACAAAACATGGTTGCCCAAGCAAACACACATAGCCATCAGTGAACATCTCGAGAAGCGACCCTTAACGAACAACAGGGGGGTAACCACGCACGGTGTTACCTCCAGGATGAATTCACACTATATGGACCAGGCTTGAACCCCCACATAAACACACACACACAAATTCAGGGCACGGTATGGCATTTGTACCCTTGGGTCATATAGCAAATACCAACTTTACCTGGGGTTCTTGAGATGGACTTAGGAATTTGTGGAGAGGGGACAAAAAAATGCCAACGTGATACACAGGACATGGAACAGGGCTGGAGATGCACACACTTCTAGGCTGCAAGTTATTAATTGTGCGCTGACACTTTGTGTATTTCTGCATCGTGAAAACACTGAATTTTTGTCTTACAATTACAGCATGGTCTAAACCAATAAAAATGATCTTTTTTTTTTTTCTATAGGAATTGCAACGTTTATTTTTTACCAACAATAGGAAGATATGCAAAAATAGCCCTTAAAAGAAAAGGGGGAAAAATGATCTGCTTTCTCTTTAAACCCATGAACAATAGAAGGTCACGTGCCGCAGTATCCTATCATTCAGCACATTAATAGCTGTGCTAGAGTAATTACACTTGTGGTATTTTTGCCTCAAGTGAAATTCTGAAATAAGAGGATGGAAATTATGATACTGCTGATAAATATTAATAAGTGAACTTTTAATTTTTTTGCCACAATATTCAAAATGCTAAGCATCTAGCTAATGCTGAAGCAGCCTGATATGTGTTTGCCTCCAGGGACTATGATGCTTTATGCACTTAAGAAAAAAGTTTAACGGAATTAAAATTTAATATCTAATTAGAGCAAGGCTAATATATTTTGAAATGAGTGGGGAAGACACACGCCTCTGTTGCATATTTGCTACAGTCATTAATCTTACCTGTAAAGCAGCATTGAGAGGTGTGCAGTAGGTGTGGCTGGTCTGTATGTTTTTAATAAGAGAAGGGTTACTGCATAAGAAAAACATAAAAAGGAGAGTTAAATGCAACCAACTTCTGTGCGAGCATTTCAAGCATGTAATGCTTCCTCCCACACCAGAAAACTAGAGCTGAGTTTTTTCCACACAAGTTCTCTTTCGTTTCTCTCTCTTTTTTTTTTTCCATTTATAGAAAATAGCTAAGTTTTAGTCTATGGTTATCATATTTGCCTTTACTAAATAAGGAACATCATTATCTCTCGACATTACCTCGCCATGTGTTATACTACCCTGCGTTAGTAGCACATCTTGGCATCTCTGCTCATTTTAGCTGTGTTCAGGAGAAATTTTCCAATATTCGCCGTGTCTGGGAGCCAGTTACCATGTAAAGGTCCATCACGAGGAGGCTATGATCAAAAGCATCGTGGCACATTTTAAACACTACTTCATGCAAATTATTCTCCAAGTCGCTGGCAGCAGAGTCCCTTGCAATGGAGCAGAGACAGGATTTGAGCCACGTTATTTCCTGCCAGGCAAATGGGGAGGGGTCCCGGTGAGGGTCTGCCTGCGCCATCACCCCCAACAGTTTGGGACTGGGGGCATGGACCCCGCAAAACACCACACTGCCCTAAAGGCAGTTTTAATAAAAAGTATTCCAGTGTGCTATTATGGAGCCTTACTTTAGTCATCTGAAGTTTACATAAGGGGCCAGATTCGAGGAAAACGAACACTAAGCGTATCTGCTTTCTCTTTAGCGGCATCTAAGTATCACCGGTTCCACCAGAGGGGAAAAAAGAATGTAAAAAAAAAAAAATCGCTGAATATGAACTAGATAAAAAGTGCCAATGCAAAAAAAAAAAAAAAATTCCAAAAAGTCTTTATCACTTACTGGGCATTTTTATTTTTTGGGGTTTTTTAGTTTTTTTTTTTTCATGTGGGAATAAATCCCGGTGAGAAGAGTCTTAACTGAGTCCCTCCCACAGGGACCAGCAAGGATTAGTTGTCCTGGAGAGATGGCCTTCGAGTAAAGGTCAAAGAAAATTGCTTTGGGAACCCCAGGAATATTTGTGCATGGTTGTTATAGACACAGGATGGCCTGTTGATCATAATCTTTACACCTGGTCTCACTGCACTTTCAAACTTTTAAAAGTTAATTCAGCGTTTCTGTCTTACAAACACCTTGTGCTAGTTTGGATCACGAGTTGCAAAACAAGGCATACAACTGAAAGAAAAGGAAAATATCAGCATCAAAACTTATCTGAAGCCTTTCCTGACATATCTGTCTTCCTGACAGGTCTACAGCAGCATATCTGCACTAGCGCAGATTATTATTTTAGTCTACACTGCACTATAAACAAATGCTGTAACAAACATGTCAAAGTAGAATTATTGCTATAGGCATTTGGATTATCAGAGTAGGACACACAAAATACACATAACAACCAAAAATTTAGTTTCTTTAGCAGCAAAGGTGATGTCACTATTTCGTGAAATGCAAGTCTACATGAGATGGGTAAATCATGCAAAGCAAAGCAACAGCAGAAAAAAAAAATTAAAGCAAGTAAAAGCTCTTACTGTGCAACAAGCTCGCCAAAGTTTTCATCAGGGCAGTATTTTCGAGGACGGCCTCGTTGAATATGACGGCCACGTTTAAACTCTTCATCATCAACAGTCCAAAAGGACCCAAACTCATCCTCTACTCTGATAAAGCACTTATGCAGTGAGAGGTTGGTGCGAATGGCACCCTGGGACAAGAGCAGCAGCAAAGGAGATGAAGTGGAAACAAAGGGACACGGGATCGGGGACAGAACAGACATCAAATACAGGGAAAAGGAAAAAGAAAATAAAATGCAATAAGCATAAGCAAATGGTTTGTGAGGGTTAATATGCATTGCCACCTACAAGCTACTAGCATGTGATGCAACAAACACCAAGCAAGCAGGGTCAGGGTACTGGTGGGCATACAAACAGTAGTGATGAGATGTTTGTCTTGGTTTCCCTTAACTGAAACAATGCGAAACCACCTGTGGTTGGACTAACACCAGCTAGCAGCCAAAAGCCTCTACGTTAAACTGTAAGCATGATCCAAGCTAGGCTAAGAAGTTCAAACATGGTGGACATACCCACTGATCTTTTGTGGCCTTCGTTTTTGGAACTCTAGTTCATCCACTGTCCATACTGCCCCTTTAACGTTTTCTACTCGCACAAAACACTTGTGAAGACTAAGATTATGACGCACTGCATTCTGCAGCAAGTATAAAAGAGAAAACATTCAAAAACTTTCTATGAGAAAATGCTCATCATTGTCCAAGAACAGCAGCACAGTCAGCTTGACAGTCCTCATTTTGCAACGTTAAGCCCCTTGCCCTCCCCACACCCACTTGCTTTCCCCGGCTTTTTACATCTTATTTTTTGCAAAGACAAAATAAATATAAAAGCTTAAACCCCAGATTAGAAATTCAAGTTATTCTTATCAATTATCCCCAGTATGAATGAGAACAGCCATTGTTTTAAGCATGCATGTTGTATAATACAGCACATTTCATACAGAACAGGAGAGGAACATTGCTTAAACATTTTCAAAACAAATATCTACGCTCCGCAAAGAGAAACTTTCCCTCGCCTGGAAAAGAAAGCAGTTAGAAAGAACAGAAAGGATTTCACGTAAGGACAGACGGCTCGATTTAGCAGAGAGGCACTGGAGCTGGTGTTGCTGCAGTTTCCCACAGCTGGGCTAATGCAAATCAGGTGCTGAACCTCCTTCCACACCCCCAGCACCAACTGGGGGGCTCAGCAGCACCCCACCAGCCGGCACGGCACCGACTCCTGCCTCCACGGCTTGCTCTTATATGGAAGTTGGCTCCTGTTTCTGGCAGACTACTGTACTGCCTGATCTGAGCCTCTGCCAAGTGAAAACATGAGGAGGGCTCTCCGAAACAAAGTGATAATATCCCCGCAGCTCATCACCCAGAGGGACCTGGGCTCATGGCATCCAACGCTCAGATGTCCTCTCTGCAGCTCGGCGCCAGCGCTGGATGAGACCGGCCAAAGCCCTCCAACATGTCTGGATCTTTGCTGAAGCTGGACATAAAGAGACACCTCACTTTGTCACAGAAAGCTGTGGCTTTTCTGTCCCTATTCTTTCTAAAATGGTGCCAAGAGCCTTGTTATTCCTCAAACGGAGTGCCATGCTTCTTCCCTGTTTTATGAGTTTTCTGAGCAAATGCCCCACTACAAAGCCACTCGGATTTGTACATGGAGCTTGTCCCCAGCACTGCTGAAAGGGGCTCGAGTAAACAGGGAAAACAGAAGAAGCCATTTGCTGAAAATATGCAGGCGAACAAACTCCATCCATCATCACTGGCACCATTGATTTAGTCAATCTGGTTGACTCGTTAGCAGGCACAACGCCAGCCAAACACATGGCCTGGGTCTAGGCAACCAAGAGACGACAATTTTTTTTCCCTTCCTTCCGTCTTCTTCTTTTCTTTTTTTTTTTTTAATGAACATCGGGTCTGGATGGTGAAAGGGAGCTCTAATCACGAATGTCTAAATCACTGTGCAAACAAAGGGTATGCACAGTGCATTTGTCATGTAAATTAAGAGGCAGTGGTGTGTGTGTGTGTCTGGGAGGGGAAGTCTCAGAGTCTTTTTTTTTTTTTTTTTTTTTTGCTACTTTTCCATTTCTCTGCAATCTCTCACACAGTCCCCAGGTTTCCATCCCGGGTACAAGGGAAGAGTCAGGGCTCAAACTGCCTTTGCTCAGCAGATGCTTGAGTGCAAACATGTCTCCTCTGGCTGTGGGTTCCCAGTCCTGGCACTTTGGCTTTTCCACACTGATCTGCTTGTGAACTGCTCAAAAAATAAACCTTGAAGAAGCTTTTCCTCTCAGCAAGGCAGAAATCTAGCAGAAAGCCTGTCCATCAGGGCTACTCCCTTCTACCCTTCCTTTCTTCTGCTTTTATTTTTTAATGATTTTTTTTTCTTCCCCTACCACCTCTTCCAGATTTCACTACTTTGGAAATTTTTGGCAAAATCCATGTTGAGGTGGAGGAAAAACATGCAAACGCCCCACACCTTACAGGCTAAAATCAGCCAGCTCAGCAACTGCCGGGTGGGTGCCGCACCGGTGCAACCCGACACAGGGCTGCCGGCCCACATCTGGGTAACTCAGGCAGTTTCCTGTGAAAATGGGAACACTGACAAGTCTGGAGCAAAGCGTAAGAATAATAACGCTATTTCCCTTGGTGAAAGCTGATCTTGTAGTTCATACAGCCGTTGATCAAACGCACACAGCAAAGTTCAGCAAAGGGAGCCCTCGGAGTTTGTAAACAGTCTCTAAATACATGGTTGAGCAGAAATATTTGTGTTCTTTACATAAATTTAATGACGAAGAAATACTTTAGAGTCTGTTCTTGCTCTCTTGAAGTCAACGTGCAATTGATGGTTAAGGCTGCTGGATCAGGCTCTTGCGGAATACGTCGAGACAGACAACTTGAGTGTTTGCAAGACGTCCATGAAGCGTTGCCCTCGCTTTCTATTTTCCATGTGATCACTTATTTAAGGAATTCATGGCAGGAAAACATTGTTTTGTTTCTCTTGCCTCTGGATACTTGCTATCTAACAGTTTTATTTGAACAATACCCCAACGTTTCGGAGCCACACCTGCAGCCTGTGCCTCATGGCTGCGACTCAGAGCCAGCAAATTACTCCAAAAAATAAAAGCAAACAGTCATTGCCTCTGACCTGTCAGAACCAGTTCACAGTGCTCCCCCAGCAATCAGCTTAACAGAAAAATTAGGAGCTATTATTGTAAGATTATATATTTACCTTGTTAAAAATATTTGTATGCAAGCCACTTATGCAGAAAAATTACCCTGAGCATGCTTGAATGTAGTAAATGAAAGGGTTTGTTATTTTAATAACCGCTCAGGCTCTGCTGTACTGTATTTTGGGAGAGAGGTTCATTTTTTAAAGGTCTTTATTCCTGCACTCTTCTGTGTTTTTGAAAGAGGGCTCAGGGAAGCTTGCCCGCACCACACCCTGACCCTAAACTTGGGGAACGCTGACCCAAACGCCCCCTGAGCATTAGCTGAAGGTGAGAGCAAATCAGCACGTATATATTCAAATTATTCTGATTCTGCAATTAGCCCCTTGTGCTTGTTCTGCGCCCCGTGGGCTTCCCGTCATGCCAATCCAAAGCTGCATTTTCATCCCTGCTGTTCCTGAAGGCTGGCATAAATCTGAGCAGTCTTCAGCACAGAAACCTGCATTGCTTCAAGTGATTGTCGAATTTTGCTAGTGCTGGTGGAACTTGGGGTGAGGCTTTTCTTCCCACGTAAGTGAAGCGGGATCTGGACACCTGCGCAAGGTCAAGGTGTCCAGAAGGGGTCTGCAAATGGTACCTGCCTCCCCAGGACACACCTGGCCCTTCTGCAAGCCCCAGGGTCTGCAGCTCAGCCCCTCTCCTCCTCTGCAGAAGCACACTGTAATTCCATGTGGCTTCTGGGACTGGATTTTAGGTGATGCACAAAGCTATCTCCTAAAACTAGCCTCGTAGGAGATATGGCCAGAGCTGCCTTCTGTCACTGCGCCCTCCACTTCCCTTCCCTTTGCTGCTGGAATTAAATGGGGTTTTCAGTTTAGCACCCCCACCTGCAGCTGCTGCAAAGTCCTACTGGAACCACTCCAGCAACAAAAGACAGGCAGGTCTAAAAGGATCTTAAATCAGGGAAAGTTAATTTCCTTTCTGGATAGTAAGGAAGCTGCAAAGTGAAACACTGCTCATGTTTTCCAACTGCAGTGAAGAATCAAAGCAGCAATCACTGAGACTTTTCCTGAACCTAAGAGCTTCTAGACCAAGGTTGAAAATGTACAAAATTGGACTGGGATCTGAATTAAAAGCAAAACACGCTACTAAAAATCAAGCTAACTTCCAGGGACCCTTTTTAGCTTCATCCTCTGAAGGAATTAATCTTAAATGCAAGCTGAGACAGGAAAAACAGAAAGCTGATGAAACGGCTTGTATGGGACACATTCTTCCTACCTGGTCATTTGAAGTTGTTTGAGAGCAACAGAGCTGCCTAGATTAAGAGAGGGTCGAAGTACCAGGGATGCAATTTTTACAGTGATAAAAGATCCTATTATTTGATTCACTCATTTGTAATTGCACTAGCTTCAGAAGCCAGTGTGGCTATTACAATGGCATATACAAGGAAGGAGTGTCCCCCAAAATATAAAATAAAATTAACTCCCCAGACCTCTTATCTACCAATATCTGATATGGCTATGGTAGGAAATGAAAGCACCAAACATTAAGTTTGTCTTAAACACAATTCTTATTGTGGGGCTTGCTTCTTGCATATTATGTTCAATAAGCTTCTGCTGTGTAATTTAAAAAAAAGAAAGACATTTATAACAGATTTGTATTTGTAGTTGAGAGTCAATTGATTAAGGAAAGAAATCCAGTTATCTACGGATCCTAGGGAAAAAAGTGGTTGTTGTGATTACGGTCTGCATAACTAAAAGACAAACAGTATATCTTCTACTGACACAGTAACTTCACCTCTTTCTTTTTTTTTTTTTTTTTTTTTTCTTCCTAATTCGTTTTTTTTTTTTTTTTTTTTCCTCCTAATACGTTCCAGCTGAAGGGCTTGAGTTTCACTGCTAGCAGCAACCACACAGAGGAACTCGTGGCATAATCACAGAACATAAAAGCCAATAATGGGGATTCAATTAGTGGTTTCCAAAGGCAGAAGAATTTTTCTGCCAAATATCAAATTGTTCCTGCAGATAAGGGACCCAGCGAGTGTCAAAACTGCCGATCTAAATTTTCATGTCCACATGTCGTTACAATTTGTTATGTCATCAGCAATGTCTATTCTGCACATGTCAGTTATCAAAGGCAAGAGGCAGAGGCGGGCTAAGGCTTACCTTCCACGTCGCCGCGTTGCGTCTGAAGTAAGCAAACATTCGCGTGAACCAGTTGTAGATTTCATTTAGTGTTAGCTGTTTTTCTGGAGATTCGAGGATGGCCTTGTGAAGCAAAGCAATTGCAAGATCAGTTACGAGAACACCAGTACAAAATACACTCACAGTTTTACTTTACCAAATACAAAAAGGAAAGAAAGGAAGAAAGAAAGGAAAGAAAGAAGAGATTTGGAGCAAAAAATCCAAAGGAGGGTTTTCACAATATGAACTAAGATTAATGGCTGTATTTAACAGTTCAATGGCAAAATTCAAAATGGAATTATCTAATTGTTTTGAGTTTTTATTTCTGTTTTCTTACAGAAATATTAATTTATTAGTCATTCATAAAGCAGAATCAAAGAGAAATGCAAAACATTTCACTAGCTGATTAAAGCTCAGTAATTATTTAGAGCTCAGATTAATTCTAGGGATCAGAGATTACTGTAGCTTGTGATAATTGACTTGCCATCTTTAAACAGGCTCATTTTCACTGTTGTGTGAAATGAATTTCCTAATAATCACATCGTATTGTAATACTTAATCAAAAGCAATTATGTTATATATTGCAATTCTAAAAACCCTTATAGTAAAGGTTTGAGCATTTGAGCACGCTTACATACCAAAGGTTTGAAAATCTATTTAATCCAGGGTGTGCACATATAGGGAGATATTTTTTTTCCTAATCCAAATGCATGTGTTTGGCTCAGCTTACCTGTCTAATTAAAGATGCATACGTGAATGGTGGTCTAACTTCTGCGTTCTTATAAAATTCTTGGTTCTGGGCAATATCTGCTAAATAAGAGCAGTTGTTCTGTTATCATCACAGCCTGCTGCTGCTGGGCTGCGGGCAAAGGGGCTGTGCCACCAGAACCCCTTTACCTGAAGAAATGGGGACGTTGTATTTATCCGAGTACCGCCTCCGGATGGGTCCGACGTTGTGCATGCTCGTGGTAGTGATGACCGATGGTCCCTGCGTGACGGGAGTGATGGGCGCAGTCGGGGTGGTGGGAGTATGAGGTAAGCTCTGCGGAGACGCCTCGGATGCGGTCTTGGAAAGCGTGACGCTCGACACCAGATTCAGCTGCGGAGGGAAGGACAAGGATTTCATGACAAACGTCATTTCTGGCTAATTAAGGGCTGCAGAGAAAATTCTCGATAACGGGGTCTTCCTCAGTTGGAAGCAGACAACACAGCCCGAGCGCTTGCTTTGGCACAATGCGCTGTTGTAACCTCTCCATCAGGAGACAGTAAAGGGAAATAAATATATACATTTCCGGATAGATTTAAATAAAAGAATAACATATCGTGCTGCCAGAACTACAAATTGTGGATTTTTTATCTAAACCTTAAAACAAGATGTCACACAGTACATAATCATTTTAATATTTTATTTTAGTTCCATTGTTTCACAATCTAAACCCTGCACGTCTCTTATTTCCATGCTATCATTATGCATGGCTTCTAATCAATCTTCTTGGATATTTCATTGAAGGCATCAGGCTTAAAATAAAAGGCAAGACTTTCCTAGGACATACAAAGGAGAAACACAATCTCTCTCTTCAGCATTTGGGCTTTTTTCTTTCCCCCCCTTCTGTTCATCCATTTTAAAAGCAAAGCCCAGAACAGGTTAACACTGGAATAATTTAATTAATCACACTGCATGAAATACTGCAAGCGCTCAGCCCAGCAGAAGTGGCACCACTCTTTTTCTTTTCTCCTAGGATGGAAGGCATCAGCGTTACCTGCACGAAGCCCAGCCCCGGACAAATGGCAGCTTGCCACAGCAGGCTGTAAAACAACCGCCTCTGGGATTCTGTATCAAACCCAGCTCCAACTCAACTGTTTTCGATACACAACCCTATTTATATAACCAGCATCCACATTCCTCCCCGGCTCTTTCTTTTTGCCCTACAACGCCCTTTGAAAGACGATGCTCCGTTTCAATAGGTCACTCCCGCTGAAGTATTTTAAACAAACAATCCGATCTCTTAACTACAACATCAGAAAAGACTACCGAGAAAAGGGCTCTTTGACTACTTCCACATTTCCTTCCCTTAGGCATTTTTGTGAATAATATTGGTCAAATGCTGACCCCATTGAAGTCGGTAGCAAAATTCCTACTGAATTTAACAGGGCCAGAATTTTACAACTTTTGTTCGTGATTAAAATTCCTTTTTGCTGGACATGAAACCCTTTCAGATGAAGGCAAGGCACACCACTCGGCTATGCCTCCAAACATCTCATGTTTATCCATAAGGCACTGTATTAATTTTCTTCCTATGAAAGTAACCAGATAAGGAAACTCCTATTAGCATCCCTCATACAAGTTAATAGCCACAAATAACATTTCTTTCTTAACTAAGAAGTTTTATCTAAAACAAAGGCAGTGGAAAATAAAGGGCTCTAACATTACAGAAGGGATACCGACACAAAAAGCCCATCGCCCACAGAAAGGCTGCAGCTGACCAACAGTTAAATTATGATTGCTTTTCCCTCTCGACAGTGAGATGGAGCAAGCGGAGGGAACACCCAGCCCGGAATGCCCAGCACAGCCCAGTGCTGTGACGCTGCACCGGCAGCTCGAGCACTGCTCCAAGGGAAGGAGGTGATGAGCAACAGCAAACGGTGCTTCACCTTCCAGCAGGAAATATTTAACGCTTTGTGGCGAGTCTGGAGAGTGCGAACCCAGTGAGGGATGGTGAAAGGCGGTGAAATACAGGGACTGATTTCCCAGAGACGCCTGCACCGGTGTGAGCTGCTAACACCTGGAGGTGAACGCGCCTGTTCAAAGCCCCGCGGTGCTGGGTGCTGCCTCCACGTGCCGCCCACAACAGCCTAGTCTGCTTGTTGACTGGCGTGATTTAAGGCCATCAATTAGGGACATGTATATAGTAATGTCTCCCTGTTATCCATCTATCCATCTATTACATATGATAAAAGGACCAGTGACAATAATAACAGTACAACTGACAGGTCTCCCCATGAAATTAAATCTACTGTATTTTATCTCAGTTTCTAAATGGACATTTTAACAGTCCAATAACTACGAGCAAATCTGCATCAATTGTACGAGCCCATCTCTATCGCAGGCTCCACAGCCGGGCCCTCCCGTTGGAAAGATCACTGCTCCTGCTTCATCATTACGGCTCCAACTCCTCCATTTCAAAAGAGTCCCCTTCCTTTTTTAGTGTGGAAAAACTTAACATTTAATCTGTTTCTACTAGGAAACTGTGAGAAGGGATCCACAAAGGTCAGTGTTCCCTGCTTAAAGAATTTGAATTGAGCTAAATTTCTTCAGGCTTTTCAGCGTAGGTAGCAAATAGGAATAAACACAGAAGAGGATGAGCAAAGGGGGGGGTTTAACAGGCTTGACAAATGACACTGTGATTCACACCCACTGCTGGGCTGCCACTAATAAGCTACAGAGGAAGCAGCCAATCTCAGCTAATTACCAGATAAAATTGTATTGTAAGGACTCTAATTAGGAGATGCTTATGGAGGTGATCTAATGATTAAACGCTGCATCCGAGTGACCCCACCATCAATGTGCAGTGGTGCAAGATGTCACCGGAATATTTTGTAGAAACAGTAATTTTATTTCAAGGAGGGGAGGCAGTAATATTTGTAATAATGGCTACGAGGTAAACTAATTAAAAGACAGTTCCTAAAGGAGGACTGTGGCTTTGAGCAGCTGTGGCCGTTCCAAAACAAAGTGCCAAATCTCAACAGAGGAGCTGCAGTCAAGTGGAAAATTTCTGCCTGACCTCTGCTCTCGCTATTAATTTGCAGGAAAACTAATGACACATATACATATTCCCACAAAATTGTTCTAATTGCTAATTTGCCAAAGGAGTCCAGTTTCCAAATTAAACATGACTGCAGTCTGTGAGGAAAGAGAGAACAAAAAGCTGGAACGCAGCGAGTGTGCCGCGTTTCACCTCCGACGACCGTTTGTGAGCCTGAACCAACAAGTTAATGAAACACGACCTTGTCTATCGCTAGCGAAGTTTTTTTCCTTTTTCCGTGTTTTATTTGATGACACTCTCCTCTTCCAGCCAGGGTCTGATCCCTGCCGGTGATGTGACCAAAACAGAAGCGAGGGTAGAGGAGGAGAGGGCTGCGCTCCCTCCGCACACCCTCGCTGCTGCTTTCTTTGTTGCATCTGTAGCGTGAAGGCTGAAAAATGGGTTGTGAATTAGAGCAGAATAACAAATTATGAATGGTGTTGGTTTTGTTGCCATCTTGAAAAGCTAATCGGAATGGTAAACTATTAAATCTTAATATTGGCGTCACTTGGAAACGCGCAAGCGGCCGAGGATGATTGTGCAGGGCAAAGATCAGGGAGGGACCGGGCTGGGAGGGTTTCTCTTCCTGATGGAAACTCAACGTGGTTTCTCCCTGTTTGCATTTTCTATTTAAAAACAAGTTACTATGATTACAAAAGTTGTTTGTACTGGTATTTTGTACATCGCCACATACTGTAATTTTTTGGATGAGGTATGATTGCTGTCAGAGGGGACGGAGCCCAAGTCACAAGGTTAGCACTTCAGTGAGCAAGAACTCCTGCACTGCAATGAGACACAACGAGGGGTACTCTCCAAACAAGCCAGAGAGTACAGCCCCGGCACCAAAGAGTTAAATGTTTTTGTAATCGTTGTACTG